CATACTTGGTTTCAACCCTTCAGTGTTGGTTGCGTCTATATCAGGTATTCTGTCAATGATTTGATATATTTTATATGCAGAGGCTTGTGAAATGGCAAGTGCAGATGCTGGCATTGAGATTTTCGAGAGAGACATTGTGGATATGACATTCGACATAAAGACAACCAATATTGCTCCAGCTGTCACGTTTTTCATTCCACCATCCCCTCGAAGAACAACTGTCCCATAGAACAGCCCAAGTGTTATCGAGCAGAAAATGGTGAACATCACAAACCCCATTCCAATCCCAAGAAAATGCCCACCAATGACAAACCACTTTTGTGCACTCTTTACATTTTGAGAATAAATTTCAGAAAATGCCTTTTCTTGATTAAACGATTGGACTGTTCGAATACTTCCTAATGTCTCTTCGGCTATTGCACCCGCTTTGGAATCATAGACATCTCCTTTCGACCTTGTAACTTTTGTGGATGACCCCATAAATATGGTACCCAATATCATAAAAGGAGCTATTGACAGAATAACAAGAGAAAGATCCCAACACTTGACAAATCCAATTACGTAGCCTGTTATCGGCGAGGCTATGGCTTCAAATAATAATCCAAAATTCTGAGAAATGCCTTTTTGAATATTTTGAACATCAATTGAAATGTGGGATGTTAATGTGCCAGTTTCTTGTGAATCATAAAATGTGGAGTCTTGACGCAGTAATGATGAGAAATACAACTTCCTGATCTTCAAGCCAATTCTTTCTGAAAGGATAAAAAAGCAGAAGCGGTACAAAAACTTACCAAAAGTACTTCCAAGCGTGATGTATAGCATCCGAAGAATTAAAGTGTTAACTGATGATGTAACAGAGTCAAACTATTGATTAGTTTATTTTTAATAATACAAATAAATAATTTTTCAAATAATATAGTTTTTTTTTAAAAAGGTATATTTCTTAAAACAACAAACAATTACGTGATTCAAAATGTTTTGCTGTTCCAAAGGCATATTACTCAAGTCCAGACTACTGTCGCTAGACACATTGAATGTGTCAAATACATCACCCATAATCATGATAATTAGAGGGTTAAGAATACCAACAGCTAAACCACCAAAAATCCCAACAAAAAGCAAAATATAGTCGACCCAATTTGAGTACTTAAAGAGCTTAATAATGGATACCGAACCGGTCTCTTGTGGCTTATCATCTTTTGGCTTTGTGTCTTCTAATTTAGACATATCATCAAGTGGCAGTTCACCGTTTTGAACAGGTTCTTGTGTCGTCTGTTTGTTGTCTTGCATTGTTGTGTGTTTAGGGTATAAAAACGAGTTTAAATAATGTAGGTATAAAATAAATACTGCTTTGTAAACTAATAACCCATTTTTAACAATACTGATATGGAATGAAAAAAAAAATGTATTTAATACAATTTTCTGATATTTAATAATAATATATATAACGATTTTGAGCTTGAAAGATAAGACTCAAAGAACTAATTAGAAGTTGAACTAAAGTTGAAACTTTGGTTTATTGTTTTATTTTTTCAATATTCAGACTATTTTAGTAAATTTATAAGATTTATTGGTTGATATAATAATAAGGATTGTAATCGTGCAATTCTATCGTTGCGAATATTCAAAGTTTGCTTTTGTGTTTTGCAAAAGAAACAACATATTTATAACATTTATTATTAAAAACTATTAATTTTTAATATTAGAAAAAGAAAAAAAAACAAATAGATTGTTTATATAAATAAACAATTATATTTTTGTAATGTATTCAATTGTTAGTTCAAATGTGATATATTTTGCTATAAATAAATAGTTTGTTTAAAAGTTGAAACAAACGATATTTTCAAAGACAATGACACATTATAAAAAAAACAAAAAATTATATTTACAATGTCTCAATAATTTTATTCTTATTTTCATTTAAGATTTTCAATGTTATGATTTGAATTAAATGTTTGTGTTTTATTTAATTAATATTATATAATTTTGTTTATTATAAGTCTAAATTAATTATAATGTATCATGGGTATTCCAAAACCCATCAAAAAATATAAAGAAAACTTAAGATTCAAAGTTTTTATTTTTAACAATTACAATATAAATATGGGTTAATAATAAATTATTTAATATAAAGAAAATTATTAATTCAATAATAATTACAGATTATAACATATCTTCAATTTATAATTATAATCAAAGCAAATCATAATTTGTGTTATACAAACTGACATAAAACAGGTTTGCTGCACAAGTTGTTTTTGGTTACCAATTCATAAACATTCGTTATTAAATATATAACATTTATATGATTTTAACCAATTAAATGTTAAATTAAAAGGTTTTATTTAACATGGGGTATTTAACTGACTTATTCTATCAACCTTATTTATCAACCAAAATAGGTTATAATATAAAACGACAATTTTTTAATTTTTAAATTTTTTAATATAAATATTTGATTTCGCAGACATGGTGCGTAATTACAAAATAATAAACATTTCTTATAAATATCAGTTGAGCAAACCTTTTTGTCGTTCAGTAAAAGTTATTCTTTGAAATCGATTTGGCCATGTGAATGTCAATTCGCTATATAAAAAGAGTGTATAAAAATGGTGCAAGTATTTAAAAGCAAAATTCTTAAAGGAAATGATGCCAATAACTTGGTTTGTTGGCAACATTTCCCGTTATTTTATTCAAATATATCGTCAAAAAACTGTATTTATATACTTTTAGATATTTAAAATGATCGATTGATTTGTTTAAAATTCATTTATGTTATTGTTTGTGTTATTGGTTACATGGTTTTCAAATAAAGATATTTTAATATTATTTTTAAACTCATCTTTCTATGTTACAATTGACATTTTTTTAAAAAAAATTCATTAACACTTTTATTTGTTTCTGTGTTATTTTTTATCGGGTAGTTTTTTTATTTTTTTTTAGTAAAGTGACTTCCCCGAGGTGTGCAAGTTAAAATTTTTAGTCTTTTTTACAAAGAAAGGGCTTGCAAGACTAAATTTCAGTTGAAAAACGTTTTATTAAAAAAATGTTATTAGTTTCCAAATTGTTTCACAAAACACACAACCCTTTGGTGCTTGAATTAATAAACTACAAAAAGCAAATTAAAATATAAAAATTGGGTTATGGTTTGTCTCTGTGTTTAATGTAAAAACAATTTTGTTTCAAGACGTGAATAAATGTCGATGTCTCTTGTGTTAGCGTAATTCAAAGCGACAAGAAGAAGTATGATAAACATTATGTTTTTCTCTGTGCCATTTTATAGCAAACAATAACAAATGGTCTGTTTAATAGGTGTTCATTGTTACAAATCGATGTGCACTGTTGTCCAGAACTGGTCCTTCGATAATTTCCATTGGGTCGCTTTCCCGAAATTGTTGCTTAATTTATCGTATTCGAAGTGTGAAAGTTAAAAATTGCAACGTCACAAGGTGTGCAAGTTAAAGTATAATTTAGTAATAACTTCGAAATTATAATTAATAATTAAACTAAAAATAATCTTTTTTTTTCAAAATTTCTAAAAAATAATGATTCTATTTTTTTAATAAAAAATTATAAATGAACTATACCTTAACTTGCACACCTTGGGAAGTCACTTTAGTTTGGTTTTTTAAATTTCTTATAATTTGAAAAGCATTATATTATAATTCTGCACAGGGTCTGCCAAACGATCATTTTATTGAAAAAAACTTAAAAAACAATAAAATGGTAAATAACATTATCATTTTTGAAAAACAAAATGAAAATGACAAAACACAATTATTTATACCATATTATCAAACGAAAAAATATAAAATGATAATTTATATCAAACACAATGTTGTTTTTAAATTACTTTAGAATACAACAATATACATATATCTTCGTGTAAATATAATTGTACACCAAAACCATTCAATTGTAAATTATACATGTAAATAAAACTTATTTAAAGTTGCTCTGGTAATGTTTTTTTATTTAGGTGATAATTATTATTTTGACTGATTATTATCGTATTATGAATAATAGTTTTTATCAAGAAAAATAACTAAAGATAAGTTTTACTGTTTTGAAAGTAATGTGGTTTACTCCATTCGAAAAATAATACATTGTCTGTTTTGTATTATTGCTAAAGATAATAAAATTACTTCTATTTGATTGTTTAATTAATACTTTAATTTAAAAAGAAGATGAATGAACTATTCAAAACCTTTGTTAAACTGACAAATATAAAAATATATACATTAACAATTAATATTAATGTGTATGTTAAAAAGGTAAATTAATTGTTTAAATAAAAATTTTATGTTAAAATCACTAAAAATATTTCTAATAATTTTTATTGGTTGTTAGTATTTTCTGTATTTACAATTATAACGAGTGAATATTGTTATTTGATTTTAAAAACTCTGCATCCCATAATTTCACGTGCTATTTACTATTCAGTTTTTGTCCTTTAAAACTAAAATTTAACACAATATAATGATAATTTGATCACACAAAAAAATTGTTTAAATCGTTAACTATAGTTTTATTAATTTTTAAAAACGTTTTAACTCTAAAAAACTTTTTGAATTTTTTGTTGACAATATGCTAAAACTAAAAATGAACTGACACGTATTAGAGATTGCCACGAAGTTGTTTAAAAACTGGATCTTGGCCGACCCTGGTTTTTATATAGAATAACAATAAAAATTTATTTTTTAATTTTTGTAATTAAATCAACATAAACTATATTATACAAACAAAAAATGAAATTTGTTTAAATGTGATGTTTGGATTAAAAATGTTTTAAAAACAAACAAAAAGTTAAGAGTTTGTTTTCCTATAATTTGAATTGTATTATTAAACTTCACAAACAAGTTTTAATGCTATAATACGCCCAATTTCCAATATGTCTTTATATCAAATGCCATTTTCAATACAAAGTCTTTTTTAATTATAAAATGAAGGTGGGTTTATATTTAATGTTAATAACTTGACTGATGAAATATCGAGTTTTCATTATCACATGTTATTGAATTTTAAGGCTTTACGTCGCCATTTAAACTTGTAATGATGATCACCAATTCATCAAATGTAATTCATCGTTCTAATCACATTTGTGGCCCAAGCCGAATATTTCATGATAACCAGCAATGAATACATGAACGTTTATCTTCTCGATAAGTGTTATTATTCTGGCGGCAACACTTACACCAAATATGTCAAAGAAGGAAACAAAGCAAAGGTGTATGGCTCTGTGACTTGCGGTAATTGGGTTGATCAAGATACAATTGAACTTGATAGCGATCAATCATTTGTTGAAAATCTTCCAGAATATGCAGCTGTGTCTTATGCATATATTGATGCCAAAGATTGCAAAATTAAAGAAAGTAATGCAAGACCAATAGAAACACTTATTATAATTAAGTGTGTTAAGACTTCAGAAACAACTTCAACCAAAACGGAAATTAAAGATGGCAAGTTCATCAAAAACGACTTTGACACTTCTGCCATCTGTGGTGGACTGCCTTCAAAAATAACAAACAAAGAATTGGGAAAATGCTTTACTGATGAAGAAGGATTCTTTAATATCATAAAAGACTCTACGATGACTCTCTCAATGTGCTTTGCACTGGTTATTGCTTTTTTCTTCTAAATCAATTTTAGTTTAATTGTTATATGATATTGAATGTGTCAATCTGAAATAATACTTTCTGTACTTAAATTGTTTATAATTCATAACAATAAATTATATTTATATCTACATAAAAATATATTAACTTATACCATCTCATTAATTTGGGGTATTGTTTATAACTACATACATCTATTTATAATAAGTTTTGAATGAAATGTAGTTAAATAATAAATTAAATGTTCATGTTATATAATGTGTGTTGTTAACTATTTTATTACTGCTATTTTAACACCATCATATGTCATCCAATTATTTATTATTAGTCAAATGAAATAATCAATAATTTAATTTCAAATATAAACGTTTTATGTTGTAAACCAATTGAATGTTTAAAATAATCACTAATAATTTTATAAATCAAGAATGTTATCTAATCATCAATCTGTAAGTTAAAAACTATTTTTATACATATATTAATAACTATTGTTATTGTTGTTTATTTTTTGGTTGATTCTGCTTGTAAATTTCAAATTAAATATTTATTATATTTATTGTCATTACTCTAAAGACTAAAACAACTATTCTGTTATTAATTACTTGTTGTAAATGTAATTAATAAGATTTATAAAAATATTTAATAATTTTATCATTTAATAATTACAAAATAAAGTAACCAAATATATGTGTAGTTGTTAGAGGATAAACAAACTCATTATAATGACAACACCAAAGGGGTTTTTAAGTGTTGATGAAATTGTCAAGAAAGTCACTGCTAAAATTGATAACAATTCACTTTTAAAAGAGGTGGTGGAATACAACGAGAAGACGCAGAAGCCTTTGAGTATTATAGAAATATCCCCAAGACTGTTAGCAGAGCAGTTGTATGTCACCGATTTGTATTTGATCAAAAAGGTGTCAATAGGCGATTTTTTGAGTGAAAGTGCACTCTCGAAAAAGTACTCACAAGACTTGAACAGTATCATTTCTGCATTTGGAAAAACCGTTGGCGTTGCAACAAACAAAACTGAGATATTTGAATTTTTCATTAGTGTGGCGTATGAGTGTTTGGAGATCTCAGAGTACAACTTTGGGTATCTCATTTATTGCGAATTCACTTCATTGAGCATCAAAATGGAATATGCAGAAGCATTTGAACACGTGGGAAAAGCAATAAAAGAAAAGTTCAACAAACTCAACAACATCTTTTTTATTTCAAAAAAGAACACTTACTTCAAGCACTTCGACAAAGTCACTACAAACAAATTCCCAATCACCTGTTTGTGTTTCACTATATAAAGTTATCAATAAAGTATAGCTTTATTATTATAAATTATTATATATTATAATTTATAAATATTATATTCTAATAGAAATAACATTTAGCTTATATGACTGCAGCAATTGTTGCAAGCAATGTCACAAAAATGAAAGACTTCAGTGGTGAAGATTATAACCACAATTTTGTAAGTCGAATGAATATCCCAGGTAACGTAATGGTTGCGTTATACAACGTTTTGAAAAGTACTATTAAATACATGCATCATAAATTGATACAAAAGTACTTGGTGATGTGTCTCAATGGATTTGAGTCTGTATAACTCTCGTTACAATTATAATTTTTTTAATCGTTTTAAATTTAACTTTAATTGAGTTGTTGTAAACTTTAAAAAACAAAATTAGGTAACCAGATCAACACAATAAGATATTTTTATAAAAGTAATTATAAGATCAAAAAAACTATGTCGCTTGATGTTTTTTCCTTTATTTATAAAATCGTGAAATAACAACTGTAAAAATTGGCGTGATTTTATAACATTTATTTGATGATGTTTAATTAATTATTAATTAATTGTTGTATCATAACTATAGATAATTTTGTTTATTAAAATTTATTATAAATGTATCAATTATTAAAGCATTCAAACTCATTAAGATGTTATTTTTATAATGTTATGATTTAAATATATAGTAATTTAACTAATTGACATATTTATTTATAAAGTTTAAATGAACCTAATCATTAGGTTCATTCCAAATTCTGTTTATTTTAAGATAAAGTGGATATTTATTTGAAAATAGCCGTAATTTTAGTGTAAATAAAATGTAAATAACGAAAAATAACACAAGGATTATAGATATACAACACAAAATTAAATCAACTCAATTGATAAAAAAATACAAAATTGGTTATAATAAAAGGCAATTTTTGTAGATAATTATGGGAAATTCTACATAAATATGACGATCAAAAAGGTGTTAACATAAGAAAAATAAATAGTATAAAAAGAACAAACTTTCAAAACCACAACAATGTCTCAACACACACAAAAACTTAACAACACTACCAGTACCAAAAACACAAAAGCAAAAAGAAATTCAACCAATTTTACTATTCTTTATATCCACTCATGTGTCAATTATTTGGTTTCTCAATGTGGTTACACCTTTGTTTTTCTCAATGAAAAGAGAAAAGCTGAAAAGATGTATAGCAGATATGATATATCTTTAATTTTAAATGATAAAAAAGATGTGGAATTTGATGCATCTCGAAGTTATACAATAACAAACAAACATCTGGTGTTTGATGCCAATGGAAAGCCACAAGAGTGTCCAAAAGGATGTACGATAAATCGGAATGAACAACTAATAATACTTTTACATTATTTTAACAACAAAGTGATGAATATATTTGGTAAAGAACATTTCAAAGTCAACTCCACTAAAAAATCTGAAATTGAAAATAAATTATCAAGTGAAAAATTGGACAAACTACCCCATTATGATAAATTAAATCATAATTACATATTGGAAGAAAAAGAAATTGTTGAAATGTCAGATGGATTTGTCGGTCATTCTATTGTTGAATCTGGTTTTTACAATTTTCAAAAGACACACAAAAAGAATGGCAAACTGATTGCTCTTGTAATTGGTAACATTAACAATGATGAAATAACTAAGAAATTTTGTGTTGTAAATAATATTAGTTTTGTGGATTATTATCAAACTCTTACCGAACAAATAAACAACAAATCAGACACAACAATTGTTGAAGATAAAATTGTTTATGTGGAAGAACAAACAACACCAACAGAAAGCCACAATGAATCAATCAACGAGTCAAATGAAAATGATCTGATTGAAAAGACAAAAGAAATTGAAATTGAAATGACTTGTAATGAAACAGACGAATCTTTAAATCCAACTTTTGTTTATGAAAACCCGCCTATATGCCCAATACCAACTTCATATGTTGAGAGTGGTTACATTTGGTTGCCAATGTATCCTGTTATTTGTGGTCCAATGTATATCATACCTCAACAACAAACACAATTAAATGAAAGTTGTGAAGGTCAACAAATGGAGTTTGAAAATGTCAACAATGAAAGATTAATAAATGATGTTTAAACAACTTTTCTTAATTAATAATATTAGTATTATTATTTATTAAATAGTTGTTTTACAATTTATTGTTTAACTAGAATTGCACCAATGAATTAATATAATAAATTTCGTCATTTTATAAAATGATAATAAATAACTCAGAAATAACTTTTTCATTGTGTTTTGTCAAAATTCTTCAAAACATTTTAATAATTTTTTTCATGAAGATACCATAAGTATAGTATTTTAATAATATATTTTACTATCAATTTTTTATAAAAAGAACTATTATCTACTAGAATCAATGGGTTTAATTGATGGGTATCATATGATGGTTGTATCGCAATACTTTTCTTCATTCAATGACTTCATTAATTTGGAATTTGTCTGCAAGAAGTTTAATACCAATATGTTAAAATTTCACCATAACCCGATTCCGTTAACAACAAAGACAATAAAATTCTTTTCGAAAATAGAAACACTCAACATTTGGTCCAAAGACGACGAAACTTTTGGTAATATGAATTTTGGTGTAATTCCGACCAATCAACAAGATAAAATCGACTTCTTTCGCATTAAGATATAGTGTCCAAATAATTACAACTTGTTTTAAATGATAAAGAAACCAAAAATCATTTTAAAGACTTGATTTACACAAAGAAAGATAGAATGAAATATGGCAACACAATCCCAAAGTTTATTACTGAATTGAGCAGAGAGTGCTTCTGTGACTCAGAAATGACTTCAATTGACTTACCAAATTTACTCACATTAGTGGGCGAAAGGTGTTTTACCAATTGTCTATTAAAGGCGTTGATGTTCACTGACAACATCAGCAGACTTGATCGTACTGTTTTATGAACTGCAGTCTTCTCTCTTCGATTCATCTTCCAGACAGACTTGCTGTATTACCAAAATCGTGTTTTGAAGGGTGTTACAGTCTCCAAAGTGTTACATTTCCGTCGCATATCACAATAATAGAATCTGCATGTTTTTCACAGTGTTCCTCTTTGAGAACAGTTGATATCCCAAATTGTGAAAGTCTCATTTTGAATTGTGCGTTCCTCAGTTGCTCACATTTGACTTCAGTTTCTATAAAAGGAAATGTTCGTGCTTTTGGAAATTCATGTTTTTATTTTTGTGAATCCCTGGTCTCTATCGACATCCCAAGTTGTGTGTCGAAATTTGATAATAATTGTTTTCGATGTTTTAAATTGTATACAGTGTATATAAATCTATTTGGTTAGTTTTTTGAAAAATAAGAATTTAACAATACTTGATTTTAATTTGTTTGGTCTATATTTATTTTAATCATTTTAAAATAAAAAAAAATAATAATGCACTATAATAAGTAAACTATATTATTTAACAATACAAATAAAAAGTATCATAAATGTAATTAAAACAATTATAAGAATTTAATATAAATTATTGAAATAATTATTAGTTATTTATTAATAATACAATACTATATAATAATGTAATCCCATAATTTAAAATTTAAAATATATCTAAATTTATAAACATTACTTATTCAAATATCAAAGCGATGAAGTCTATATAGTAAACCTGAATATTTATATGATGATGGTTGTCACCTATAGATTGAGCTATTTAATAAAAACCATTGACCATTTTATAATATAAAAAATATTTTTTCTATTCTATTGACCAATTTATAAAATAACCAACCAAAAACAAAATTATAAGAAAACAATAAATAGAATTAAACTTCCACAAGTTGTTAATAACCTTTTTAAATTATTGAATAAACTCCAGTGACACCATTCAACGTTAATGCTTGGGGAATTAAAAGCGGATTTTCTGTTGGTTGTGATTGTAATAAGAACTCGCTTAGTATTTTAAATATTGACACTAAAGAAAGTTATATATATTTCTTGTGTCACTGAAACGTCTCCCAATTTGACAATTTTGTTACTTAAAGTCACAGAATTGGCATTCAAATTGATATTGTGTTCTCCTTCACTTAATCCATTGTAAATGTCGTTCTTCGTGCTTAACGACAACACTTTGTTCAACACAATTTTCTATACGAATAATTTTAAATGTTATGCCTTCATATTTTGAAGCTCCCAGATTTTCGTTGAATTTCCAGGCTCTCAAATTTGCGTTTAAAATAAGCTTCTCAGTGTTCAAAATGTTGTAAGTGTAAAAATGTAAAATTGGCGTAGTCACTCACAGTGAAAATTTTCGTTGTCAAAGATCCATGTAGTGCCACTTCACTGTTAGCCGCAACATCATTTCATCTCAAAGAAAATAAAATTTAATAATAAATTAAAAAAATTAATTTTACACACTTCGCATTCAACATTTTCGGTGTTGTTCCGCCATTGTTGAAGATAATTTCTCTGAAATTGTAAATTCGTTTGTACACAACATTCCCTTCCAAAATTAATGTGTGGTGACTTTCTACCTCCTCAGCCTTCTCACAGTCCTCGCAACTGTACTTTCCATTGAAAATGCACCCACAACTTATTAAAGAAGTTTCTAACACAAATCGCAACTCTTCGAGAAATTCACAAGCAACTTTAATTCATCGGACGAAAAACTTGGATCCTTCGAACTACCAAAAAACAGAATGTCGTTGTCGTCAAATCCAATTAATGGTGTTGTACTCACACTAAAATTGCCCAAATGGTGTGAACGCCCACTTTCTGTTTTTTTAAGTGTCAAATTTAAAAACGCGAAATTGATAAAGACAATTTGTGTTGTTGGAATAGTCACAAATTCACTCAACATGATTTCACAGTCCGTTTCGATTTGTAACGTTTCCGTGCGCTTTTTGATATTAAAACTCCTCTAATGAGTCGCATCATTTCCTTTAAAACCCACAAGTTGACTTTACTGGTAAACTGTACTACTAAATATACACTTTATTATTCAATTATATAATATAATAATTTATACTATTAAAAGTGGTAAAAAAATAAAAACAGTTTTATCAAGAAAAACCGGTTTATTATTTAATCAAAAATAAATAACAATTATAAAAAATCAATAAGAAGTTTATTATTTACTTTTTTAATTATTTTTTACTTATAATCTTTTTATTATACCAACCCGATTCACAAAGTCCACAAGTTTATATTTGAGAAAGTTATATTTCCAAATCTAAAATAAATCAATTTTAGTAACCAAAACGATTAGCAATAGTTTGATAAAACGAATTTGTCATTTTGTCAAAAATGATACAATCTGATTGTAAAATATGCGACATTTAAAATATCATATATTGTTTAATTATAATAATGCTTTGATTATGAAAGTTAATAAATTACTCTTTTCCATTTTATTTTTATTTTAAATATTTTATGGTTTTATTATAATAAAACGAATGAACAAACTAAATACTAATAACTAAGTTACAAAAAGACATTTTGAAAAATAGTTTCGACAGAAACAAATTTCTAGTTACAAATCAATTACTTTTATTAACAAACTTCCCTTAAACAGCAGGGTAAAATATATAATAATATATTATACCTATATGTTCTATTTTAATATCATTTTTGTATTTTTCTCGAGTAAATGTTTTTATTATTTACTAGAATACTATGGTAAAAGTGTAACTATAGTAAAACTATAGTCTTATTATGGTATTATTATAGTAAGACAACAGATTAATTCAAAACAAAACTCTAAATCGCTCTTCGTTTATAAAAAGACGATTTGACGGTTCAACTTCTTTCGTTTAGTCTACAGTGTGTTCTATGTTGTTTTAGTGTACTTATAGCCGTTGGTTAGTATTTTATTATTTAATGCTAAAATCGACTCATATTGTCTTCTGTAATATGACAACAAGACATGATTCTTTGGAGGAGTCGGGTTTGACTGTTATTTGACGAAATATCTATCGACAGGAGTGTCACCATCACGAAATAAATTGCTTGGTGAAGTTTTTTTAAATTAGTTCTTGTTATTATTTGTGGGTGTTAGATTAATGCGGTCTGAGTCTTCATTGGGGCTCTCCATTTTCTAATAAGAAATTTATAACCAAATAAAGATAACAGGGTGATCTATGTTACAATATTGCCGTTGTTGTATTCTTCATATTGGGCGTATTTTTTCATTTAATGTTTTGCTTAATTTATGGGATTTTTACTTTCAATTCAGAACAGTAGAAAACGACTATTTGAAAAGACGGTTTTTTGAGTAAATAATATAAATAATATAAATAATATAAATAATATAAATAATAATATAGTATATATATTATAAGAATTTAAATTAATATATAAAACGAATGCTATATTGATACTACAATTGACCAACACTATATGTACTTGATATGTCAATGTGAACAACAGTTCGTGCCTTCAGCTCAAATGTTTGAGTTGTGTAATAGTTGCGCTATCGATTCAGAAGAAAACGAATATCACTCCATCTTCTCTTTAATTGTGTGTTCGTTTCTTGTTCTTGGATTGTCATTCTTGGCTGAAGTGACCTTGTCAATAACTTCAGTTCTTGTCAAAGTACTTAATATCCAAATAACAACACAACGAAGTTATTTACAACTTGTAAAAGTTTAATTCTATTTACAGTAAAACCTCCCAAAAATTAGAGGGTGTGGTATTTTTGTTTTCTCAAGAGCGAGCATTTTTGGCCAATCAAAACTCAATTACCGCTTTATAGAAAACTCTATTTTTAGTTTTAGTCTAAAAAATGCCCGCTTTTCAGAGGTACCGCTATTGAAAGGTTTTACTGTATTGTATTCTTATAATTTTGTTTTTGGTTGGTTATTTTATAAATTGGTCAATGATTTTTATAAAAAATGAGCTCAGTCTACGCATAACAACCTTCATTATACTTTTTTATATTTTACATATTCAGGTTCTATTATGCATGACAACCATCATTATATTTTAAATATTCGGGTTCGCGTTATTGACTTTCTTGCTCTGATATTTGGATAAGTAATGTTTTTAATTTTAGTTATATTTGAAATTTTAAATTATGGGATTACATTATTATATAGTATTGTATTATTAATAAATAACTAATAATTGTTTCAATAATTCATATTATAGTCACCCGCTAAAAGCAACAAAAACACAACAAATGGTCCAAAGAAACTATAATTTATTATTTTAAACTATAATTGTAAAAAACAGTGAAAATAACACAAATAACATTAAAAAAACAAAAAACAAAAAAATCACATTAAATCAATTTTTGTCAAGCCTTTTAATTCGTTTAAAATATAACGGCAATCAATTAATACATGACACTTTGGGGTGTTTTGTCAATACAGTTGACTGTGACAGCTCGTTTAAAAGCAATAATATTAAAAAGAGGTGTTGTAAATACAAATAAAGAATCCACCAATATCATCAACTATTAGTCTGTTTCCGAGTTCAGTATTGTGAAAAATGTTTTTTATAAAACAAATTACCATCCACATTTTCCTTCTCGACTTCTTCTTGAAAAAGCAAATTTACAAAACTGTCTTTCGCTTTAAAAGAAGACATTCTACTTTTAAGCCCACCAAATATTCCCAAATCAAGAACTTGAAGAAAATGAGAAGCATACGGAGTTAAGTTAACAAAGGTAATGTTATTTTGAGCGAGCAACACAATGAATCTGATACATCCAAAAAATTGGTTGAATTGTCGAAAACCATCCCAGTTGCGGGTTTGTTTTTTTGGTATTGTCCAAATAAATGCACATGTACGGCATTATCCATTAAAATTGTTTTTCAGTTCACCATTAAACTATTTTTGAAAATGTATTATAATTTAGTAAAATTTTAGTTTATTTTGAAATACTTTCAATATAAAGAAATAAATGTCAAATTGAAACACTATATAAAATCATAATTTCAAAAAACTATAATATGGTTTCTTTAGACCATTTGTCGGAAATTTATACCTTTTAGTGGGTGACTTTAAATTCTTTTAATTGTTTTAATTACATTTTATAATATATTTTTATTTGTATTGTTATAAAATATAGTTTACTTATTATAGTGTTATATTATTTTTTTTTATTTTAAAATGATTAAAATAATTATGGTTTAATAATTTTGTTATTCCACTCATATTTTGATTTTTATATTTATTAATACCATATTTTATAATATAAATACAATAAATAATTAACTTTTTTATAATTTATAATCATAATTTAAAATACCAATAATTTTAAGAGACAGGACATACATGGGGACGAAAGACGGAAAAATGGGCCAAAGGAAGTTATTTGTGGTTTAGGGACGTCCTCCCTCTATAAAGAACATTCTCCTGTGTATAAAGGCATCCTTTTTACTATTTTTGTGTCCGCTGCGTTTTTGAAACTATATAACGAGTTATAATAATACTATTAAATTACTATATAATAACGTAATAATTTCCAAATTTACATTTATCAAGAACAAACGCTAAATTATAAGTATTTTTGTTTTAAATTGATGGGTTTAAAAATTAATTCATTTTTTTCGTTTTATATTTGATTTATTATAAAAATTAATTTAAATTTGAATTATTTATTAAAAACTGTTTTGCCTCAAACGAGTATTTGACAAGTGTTGTTTTAAATGGTGTTACATATATACCAAAGTCATTGTGTGAATTTTGTATGAATCTCAAAAGAGTTGAAGTCTCCAATAAGTTGATTGAAATAGGCGAACTTGCATTTGAATATTGTGAATATTTTAATTTCAATGATAATTTGGAATTTATAGGTATCTTTGTATTAAAATATCGCGAAAACATCAAAGTCGCAAAAAAATAATGTCCGTTATATCGGAGAATTCGCATTTTTGGGATGCTTAAATTTAGAGGAATTTACTATTAAAAATAAACCCGCTTTTGTTGGACTTGGTGTGATAGAAAATTGCAATAAGTTAACTAAAGTAATGATATTATATTACTTAAAGAAGAATGAAATTGAAAGAACAGAAAACTAGTTGATAAAATCAGAGAAATTTGATTTAATAAGTGATATAAAATGTGACCAAAATGTGTTTTTTAATAATGAAACACCAGAAGAAAATGAAAAAGTAGACTTTACAAACATCATAAATATCAAGTCATATAGTAATACGTTCATAACAAATATTGATTTAAGCACATCTTTAGAGCAACTTTATAGCTACCAACTTACCTTGAATTCTCTCACTTCATTGTTTATCCCATCGACTATAGCATATGTTGGTGAATATTGCATTGACTACACGAGAAATGTATGTCATCAATGGAGCAACTTTAAATATCAACTCGGAAGTCACTCTACCAACGTCACAATCTGGGTTCGAATTTGATACCAATCTCACTAATGTTCCAAGTGTCACTCGCCAAATTTACTTTGGAAAAGACGCGAAAATCAATTTACTGGAAAATGCATACTTTACCATTCAAGGCCCAACTACCAAAGACCAAATCACTAACAAATTTGATGCAACATATAACAAAATGACACTTGATGAGTGTACTGTCACGCTTGAGGCTGATTACATTGGAAAAGTCACAAAGAATTATCCGAATGTCGTGTTTAACTTCGAAGTGATTGGAGAAGTGCTTATCAATAAGGCAACAGTGATGTACAAAGACAAAGATCCAAGCAATAAGAATGTTACTTTCATATTGAACAACGATGTTTCACATATAACAACAACTGAATTTAGTACAAAAAATGTTATTGATGATCAGAACTACGCACTCATTGTTGGACAGTCAAATGCCGTCTTGGACAAAACTGCAATTCCGGAATTGTCATGTGATCTGACATCAGAGTTCTCTGGTAAAGTCTCATCTGAAACGAAATGGAAGAGAAGTCAGTGCCCATGCAATGGAGAGACGTGTATAGTCAACACTGAATCAGTGGTCAACACAGTTAACTATGAAGTTACCAACATCACTTTTGCAAAGTATTACACGACAAACGGATTGTTGGAAGGAACATCTGCAAACATCAGTGAGTTGATTTCGCTTGGTGGAACCACTGAAGTCAAAGTGACAAACTCGAATATAGAAATGGTAACAATGGAAAAGAAGGGAATTATCTCATTCACGAAACCAATGAAGGTCCCAATAATCAATGGATTAGAAGATTCTGGAACAATTGATGTGAAGACGCACTCGTTGACAACAAAAAGTATCACAAATGTCGACTTGTCTATTTCAACTGGTTCAATTTTACTTGAAAAAAAACAACAGGCAACTTTAATGGAAGAACAATCACAGTCGCTGCGAGTGGGAGACTCGACATCTACTCTTCGAAAATCATATTCGATGATAAGACCAATTTCAACGTAAAAGTCGAAGCTGGACAACCCGCTTTAATTTCAGTTGATGACGACGCACTTGGTGACACACTATCTATCACAAATGCACACTACAAAGTCACGATACCAAGTGGGTCAAGTGGAAAGATATTCACTGTTCTTCGTGTGTCGTCTCCAATAAACACAGCAAACTTTGAGTTCACAGAAGACTCGACAACACCAGGTGGAAGTGTGAAAACACAACTCAAAAGTGGAACATTTTCATTCAAAGAAGCGTGCAATGGCGTTGTATTGACCGACTTGCCAAATGAACAGATCACGTGTCCAGAAGATAGAATGGCCCGTGTTGTGGAGAAGTTTGAGTTCCCAATGTACATGATAGCCGTCATTATTATCTTTGTGTTGGTACTTGCTGTCATTGTTGCACTTTTGATTGCTTATGTCGTCCACGTCTATATTGTTAGAAAAAGGAACATGAAAGTCTTTGAAGAAGGTGAAGAGATCGCTGTTGATGAGAATAAGCAGGATGAGGAAATCAAAAACGAAGATAACAAGCCAATGAACAATGAAGTAAAAAGGGAAAATGTTATAGCTCCAGTATATTCTGAAGTTCCACTTGGAAATGATCAGAAGACAACAAGTGTACTCGGCAAGACGTCGGAATCTGGTTCTGGAAGTAGTTCTGGCTCAAAGAAAGACTAAAATACTTCTTTTTGTTTATTGTTGATCTTTTTGTTAATGTAAAGATAAAAACAACATAGTTGATAAGTTTTTAAGTGTTATTGTGTGAACTAGAGAATGGCCATGTGTTTAAAAAGCAACTTTGCCGACAATTTGTTTACTTATGATTGAGATAACAATTTAATAACTTACTGATTAATAGTAAGGCTTTATTATTCTTAATACTGTTTGAACTTTAAATATAACCTGTTGTCGAATTAGTAAAAAATTGGTAATCAATTAAAAATTGGTTATTCAATTTCAAAATAAAAACTAAAGTAAATCAGTGTGTGACGTTAATTGACTACATTGAAAAACTAATTGTTTTGGCTTGTTTATTATAACAATTGAAAATTAAAAAAGAAATAAAACAAATCATTAAGTAGAGAGAAACAATATTTGAATTAGCAATAACAATATTTAGGAGTGACAGAGTCATACAAAGAAACTATATTTACCCTTTTATCAGGATAACTAAACTCTCCTTTTGGAAAAGCTGCTTTAAAAAAGACTTCATTAATACCCTCTCCAGTATACGAAGAACAGAAAACAAGGGGATATCCGACTCGTTCAGCATATCTTATACCTTCTTCATCTGTAACCACTTTATTAAGATCACACTTATTTGCAACAAGAACAATTGAGACATCACTGCCTCTTTCTTTTGTGGTCAAGTCGATCCAATAGTCCAAACTTTCGAAACTATTACGAGAAGTTACGTCGTAGACGATTATTGCACCTTCTGTGCCACGAAAGTACAATGAATCACATGCTCTGTATTTTTCTTCTCCATATGTATCAGTCAATTCTAACTTGATTGCATACTTTGGTGTTTTTCTATGTGTTACTAATGATAATATTTTGATTTATTATTCGAATTATTAGTAAATGTTTAAAGTGTAATACAAACATCACTTGATAAGGAAAATATACTCTTATAGAAGCATGTTCGTGATTATCGAAGTAGTGTAAATAAAATCTGATGAGCATACAAGTTTTTCCTGAAAGTTAAATGTTTGTTTAATGTAAAATTTGTTATAAATAAATACAAAGTAGTGATTTTATCATTTACCAAAAACCTTGTTTATATAGACTCAAAGCATACCTACTTCATAATCCCCCAACATAACAACTTTAAACATTCTGTCTGTGTTTTCCATGAATTAATTAACAAGTAAAAGTTTTTAAGGTTTTTGTTACCCATAAAACAGGTAGTTGTTATGGGAATTATTTTATGTTCTTAGAGGAACTTTGAAAATCAATTTACAAATTGTAATAAAATTAATGTAAATTTGGTTTTGTCATTTAAAATAGTATTAATATATAACAAATATGTTACGATTTCTCCTTGTTGATCGAACTCTTGTTTCCTTTAATTTTTATATATTTAGCAATTATGAAAAATGTTGAATTATAAAAATTGTAATTATTTGTAATTATATTATAACTGTGAACATAACAGGCAATGAAATAACTAACTAGAGTCATTTGCTAAACGTTGTCTGCCGATTTTTAGACCATTAAAAATTGAATATTTCGGGATTTTTTTTGAAAAACCCAAAAATCGTTGTTTCAATATTTTTCCAGTTTTTTTCATTTTTATTTAATTCCCGTTTTTTTAAAACAAAAACCAATTATTTTTTGTCAAAAAGACAAAGTTTGGGGAACAGACAACGTTTATCGACTGACTCTATGGCACGACCACAAGAACAAAAAATATCTTTGCATTAATTTCCTTTTTAGTTAATTCAACTCAAAAAAAATAATATTGAAAACTGCGAATTTGGAGCCAATATAGTTAGTAATCAAACCAAGTATTTTAAAATGATATTATTATAGTTTAGTAAATCAAATTCTTTTAGTTAAGTTGCCTAAATTTGTATGTTTTGTGTTTTTATCATTGAAAAATGGAGAACTCTTGTTGTGTATTTGTTTGAATAACAAAAAGTTAATTTTATTTAAAAGTGAAATAATATTTTTGTTATTTTTTTCATTTGAATTTAAAAATCATTTACATATTTTACTATTGTCTTGATAAATTAATATTATTATATCGAACAGTTATAAAAAATTTAATAGTTGGCCAAGTTCATCTAGTTTATATAAGAAAGTAATGGTATAGGAGTAAAAATACGAATGATTTATCAATAACCCACAATGTACCAAATTAAAGATTGTTCCATTTTTTAAGAAATATTATAAGGGGATCTAGTATAACGGCAGTGCGGTCTTTCCTCATTACAAATGAAAGAAGAATGTTGGTTCAACTCCAACGATCCTCATTTTTTATTTCAAACAAAAAAATTATAAAATTTTTAAAACTGAAATTGTTTTTAATATTAATTAGCAATAACGATGGTACATTTTATTCACATTTTGTGTCACTGGGATGTTTAAGACCATATATTAAAAAAATCAATCAAAAATTGGAAATTATCCTGTTTTACTCCTGTCACCAAGACTTGTATGTGATGTTATGTTAAAGTTCTCTAATATTGGATACCCATATGGAAATTTAACACGTGACACACCTGTGTTTCCAAGCTTGATATTGTGATATGCTTTTGGTTCCAATTTGAGCAGTCCTAAAATTGCGCATTTAATCCATGCGCCATGTGATACGACTACAATCCGTTTACCTTCATTTTCATGACAGATGTTGAGGAGGACTTCTGCGTTCTTTTCCTCCCAATATCTGACGCTTTTCCCAGTGTCACCAATTGGAAGACCATCTTCCCCACGACAGAACTTCTTGTAATTTTCATCAGTCAAATCTTCAAAGCGTTTTCCTTCCCAATTCCCAAATGGAACTTCGCGAAATTTGTCATCGATGATGATTGGAAATTTGCCATTGGAAATTGCTTTGGCGGTGTCTAATGCACGTTGAAGAGGAGAGGTGTAAATCACATCAAAACTATTTGTTAATGATTCGGAAACTTCAACGGCTTGTAAACGGCCATTGGATGACAAAGGAATGTCTGTGCATCCTTGGATAAAGCCACTCAAGTTCCATTCTGTTTCTCCGTGGCGAACAAGTATGAGTTCCGTTAATGAATTCATCATTCAGTTTGTATGAAGTTCCTTTGTTTTGGAAATAAAAAATAGATTTTTTTAATAAATATATTAGTAAATATGGTTGAACAAAAGTTATAATGTAATTAACAATTAATAATTTAATTAAAATCTTAAATAATAATAGATTGTATTATTTTGATTGTACAGTAGGAGAAATGAACTAGGATCATTAGAACAATTAGGGCAACTTTAGTAAAAAATGTGAAACGGTAAAAAAATACATTTTTGGGACAAAACCCTTTATAGGCAATAACATTATTTTAATAACAAAAATTCAAATAACATTTTATCAATAACATTATTCATTAAAGAAAATACCAATAACAAAATCCAAATAACAAAAAAATACAACAATTTGTTTAAATTATAAGAGGATGTCTTTTTCTCGTCGATCATCATATTTTGGTTGTTTTAACTGGATTTTAAAACCCAGTTATAGACACCTCTCATAGTAATAATACTTGAGAGGTCTTGTATCACTCAGGTTGTTGCTTTCTATTGTGTTAATGGATGCCAACAGATTAATAAAACAGATGTGAATGAAACAAACAGTATGAAATAAATTGTTTTTTTCGATTTTTTCTTTAAATAATTATAATTTTAGTTAATCACTTATTAACCCTGAATATATAATAAAGCTATTCAAAACTATTAATATTATAAAGAATTATTTTTTCAAAATAACATTTAAAAACAAAAAATGTAATAACATTTTAAATTGTTTAATAATAAAACATGAACAATTTGGTATTACAACATAAAATTATTATATAGTGTCATAGTAGATAAAATAAACATGTAAAGTGGTTCATTTTCATCATAGGTTGTCAAAATATTATCATGAAATAACTATAAATTCACTATCACAATATTTGTTAAAAGACACTTGGACTGTTAATACCATTTTCATGAAGTCCAAAGTTAAAGATATGATGAAAAAAATCTTAAGTCATAATTATATTATTTTGCATGTTGATTGTTAATTCAAAAAGATTATACCCATATGAAAAAACATTTTCTATAAACAAGGTATTTAACATTAATTATAATAGAAAATGTTCAACATTTCATAATTGTTTAAATCTATATTTCCCGTGATTTAACGGTGTTTTGGCGCAATGAAATATAGAGAGAAAAAAACAAAAATGTTGAAAAAAAGAAAAATGAAATTAGTTTGAATTGATTGGACAATTTTGTAAAGTTTCAGTTTTTTTCGAAGGGTTAAAATGATTGGTTCTTTCCAAATTGTGCACATTTATTACAACGGGAAGAAGCCCTAATCATTAGGAATTTTTACTAAAGGTTCGGATTCATTTCTAAAGTACCGGGTCCATTTTCCCTACTGTACTTTTTTTAGTAATTATTATAAACTATTAATTTCAAATTAATAACAAATAAATTATTTTTTTATAGTTATAAATATAATAACATAATAAATTAGAAATATAATACTTTATGAAAAAAAAATATTTATAGTTTCTCTCGAAATATACTTTTTTAATTTATTTAATAAAAATATTAAAACAAAAAAACAATAAAAAAATATAATAAATAAACTTTAACATATTCCCATAATTTTAAATATAATAAATACAACAAAACTCAAAGATATTATTAAATATTTAATGCGGTTATTTCAATCCTATACATTGTTTGTATGGAATTTTCCTTAACTTGCAAGAATTTGTTTTCAATAGAATCGTGTTGTTATTCAATACGAATTACTAAAAACGAATATTATAATTATAGTTTTTCGATTGTTTTTAATTTATATTATTAAATTAACCTTAGCAAGTCAACTGAATCAACTTTTTTTGTGGGAAGGTGAAATCTGGATAAGATTTATCTAGATCATATTTTATTTTTAGAACAATTAAAAATAAATTCAAAACACAAAATCAATTAGTTTTCGCGCAACCTGATGGTCTTTACAGACCCATGTTTCCTATTTTCCATGTGTTCAAAATAGTCAATACTTGCTGTTACGAGACATACACATAAATTTTCATGAGAGCGCTTCGATTTTTATTAATTTTTCATTATTAAAATTGGTTTGTGACACGCCGTTCTTAATTTAAGATCTTTTTAGTTCGAATACAAAAATAAAAAAAGTGACTTATTTTTAGTAAAAAAATCAAGGATAAAATTTATCCAGTTTTCACTTCGTTAGGTTAAGGGCGTGACACTGGATTGGCGTTTTTATGGATTGGTGTATAATAGGGAAAAATAAACTGAAATATCGGGCACCAAAAAATTGAAAAAAAAATAAATTTTTAGAAAAACAAGAGATCAATT